TGGCCCATATTTCTGCTTGTGGAACTAAGCATAAACTAATATTAGCAACGAAACCCTTAACCCAACGAGAAGAGCTATCTCTAATCCACCCACCAGCAAATGCATGGCCATTATTAGCTGAGCCGTCAGTGTTGAGCTTGTAGACTTTCTCCGATGAAGGGGACCAACTAATCCACTGCTCACAAGGAGCCAGCATGCTAGCCTGAGAACTTATAGGGGAGTTAGCTGTCGACTTAATCTCAGTCGCAAAACTGAGAATGGACTGGACCACCAATTCAACTGAGGCAGTCTCCTCTGAGAAAATAACATTATTCCTACATTTCCCTAGCTTCCAACAAGTGAGGCCAAACATAAGGGACCATATCACACCATTAGAATAGGGCTTAGCACATCACAAATTGTTAATTAACCAATGATCAGCAATGTCAATATTCCAGTCCCAAAGGACCTAATGAAGTTGAGTAGAGCAAAGGAGTGCCAGACCTGTTTAGCAAAACTACAGTCTCAAAGGGGATGTAAAATGGACTCAGTATCAACAAGGCAAAGATCACAAAAGGGAGAGAGGTTGATATGATACCTGAACATTTCCGAGGTCTTACCCAACTTCTTTATCTAGACTCTAGTTAAAAATGAGTCAATTACCTCCCCAAGAGGTGATCGATTCAATATTTTCCCTAAAAGAAAGTGATGACTCCCAAAAACGCTCTTACCAATGTAAGAGACTTTTCTTAAAATCCTTTTCAAAGGGGAAAATTGTAATCTTATACCTATATTATGTCACAATTAATTACTCCGTCTCTTTGTTTTTTAAAATATACTAATTTGTCTCTATATTTTTTACTATTATATATTATTGTTGTTCCATAAAAAAAATCAATTTTTACTATTAAATGACTTGTAAAAAGACACAAATACCCTTAAACACCCTCTTAAATTTACATTTTCTACCATATATATCTTAAACCAACCAATAGAAACATTCTCATGGTTAAAGGAAATCCTGATTAAAACAACCCTTCACTTGGTAAAAATTAAAATGGTTCTTGGCTGTGAATCAAATCTTTTATTAAGAATTGATGCCCTCTAATGGGATACCATGCAAATATTTCTTTCTTTAATTATTTTTCCTCTTACTCAAATTAAATGAAAAAGTAAAAAAATCTATTGCATCGTCCTCTGTCTCCATAAAATCAAATATATAATGTATATGTACTATTCTTGATTTGTTTACAAATTTGTTTTTATTTTTATTTTTTTATAAAATCTAACGATATGAGAGAGAAAAAGAGAGGTGGGAGTGAGGAAGCAAGAACAAATAGGAAGGAGAGGGAATATATTAAGGGTTATGTTAGTCTTTTCTAGTAATTTCAACAGTAAAAAATTGAAAATATTTGAAAGGACAAAACAGTTAGACAAAATCAATAAATAGGGACAAAATAGTATATTTTAAGAAATGGAGGAACAAAATAGTTAATTTTGACATAATACGAAGAAAATTTTATAATTTTCCTCTTTCAAAATAAGGTCGTTTCTTTGTAGATGGAACAGATTTAATAAAAAGAAAATTACTTTTGCAAATTAAAATAAATCTAAGCTCATTCTCACGTTGCGATGACACATCTTCACCAAGTGTGTGATTTGAATTTGGAGAAAATGCTTTTAATTAATCCTTCAAAAATGAGTAATTTCCTATGATATGAAAATCGAAAATTTTCGAAAATTGTGTAAGACTTTGCATAAAAAGAGTCTTATTACGTTCCTAAGTATTTAATTAAGGTATGTGAATACCTAATTTTCACATCCTGAAAATTCAAGTCTGACTTTGAAAAACTTCAAACCAGACCTAAACAATTGAACCAAAATCAGTTCCAAAAACGCCAGTTATCGGCTTTGATTCGCAAATAACTTTTCTCCGGACCGGGTTCCTGAAACACCCCGAATTTAATTTTTCAAAATGCAACTATTAAAAATAAATCAAAAGTCACAGTTATATATATATTAAAATAGTCTTGTAATAAATTTTATAGAAAATATATAAGACAAGCTAGCAAACCAAGTGTTTTAACCCGAGAAACCAAACTGAAACCATTAGTAATCAATTAAACCAAACAAGGAACCAAAAGTCAACTTCAGATCGGATCGAACCAGTAATCGAACTGGCCCTAGAAAGTTCCTAACCGACATCAGAGGAGAGAGAAAATTTTAGACAAAACCTTCCCGTCCCCACACCAATTCTGGCCACCGCTTGACGAGAGCAAGGTGGCGATCAGCCCCCTTCGTGCCACCAGTTACTGTTTCCCTTATCGTCGACCTGCCAGTCATAGCGCGAGGGCGAGAGAGAAACAGAGGAGCTTCTGTCGATCGGGACAGCCTTCTCTCTCTGTTCTTTCGACGTCTCTGGCGAGGCCAGCCAAGGACCAGCTGGTCTAGGTCTTCCAAATCATCAATGATCCTCCTCCGGCTGCTCTCCTTCCCATTTTTCCGACCTGATTGGGGCGCAGTAGTGAGAAAGAGTGAGTTGAGCATGATCAGCATTTTTACCATCGTCCTAACCGAAAAACTTCAATTTCCGGCACATGTTTCTGCTAGGTGACCCATATTTTGTCCTTCTTAGATTTAATTCAAGAATTTGACCTTAGTTGAAGGATTTTGTGGTATATAATTAAGCTATTGCAGAAATTTATATATATCTAGCTACTGTTTAGATGATGTGATTAGGATTTTTGAATTTTTGCTCTTTAAATTGGTATTATATATCTAGCTACTGTTTAGATGATGGGTGATTAGGATTTTTTGAATTTTTGCTCTTTAAAAATTGGGTATATAAACTTGATTGTTGTTAATTGGAAATGGTTAGATTATTGCATTTATTGTGAAGAATTAAGCATTCTTTAGGTTGAAAGTAGCTGTTTAGCTATATGCTCAAGTTCTTGATATCCTATGAAGGAATTATTGAATTGTTTCCATTTTAAATGAGTTATAAACTGAATTTATTAAGAAATGTGCAAAACAAGTAGATATATTATGGGTATTAAGTAGAAGACTTTGAATTCCTTTGAGCTAGCGGCAATTAATTTAGTTGATTTCTTGAATTATAGTGTTCGGGACGAGTATGTGAAGTTGTAAACTAAAGTGCTTGTAGGGTAGTGAGGTAGCTAGTGTGTAAAGTATGAAGATTTAGTCATGAGGCCTAGACTTTTGGATATGGCAGCAATTATTTCAATTTTTTTTTTCTTTTTTTCTTTTTTGTAAATTGTAGCTTGGTAGTATATTGAAATTGTAATATAAGAATTAGTTAGTTAATGTTTAATCCATGAGTGTAATATAAAACTTCGATTTCTACAAGTTGGCGACAATTATTTGAGTTTTTGTGTTGTATTAGAATGACACATATAAATGAGTATATTTTCAAGATTTCATGTTGGTTGATGTATAAATAGTTATTTATGATTAATAGACGATTTAAATGGGTTGGTTCGCATAATTTTGCTTGAAGAGGATAATGATTTACAGGTCAATAAGCTGAATCACCATATCTCAGTTAATTATGATAAGGAATATAAGAATTATAGTTGTATGTAATTGTTAAGGGTATACAAATGGATAGTTTAACCTAGTAGAGTGTGAAGGTTAAGCAAATACCTATTTTCACTTATTTGCTTTATATATAAAAAACTATTAAAGGTTAACTTTCTTTATTAATTTCATTCATTTTCATATTGTTTATTTATTTTTAATCCATTGATCAATAAATGTCATATCTATTCAAATTATTACGTGAAAATCATTAGAAGAATTTCGAAATAGACTCAAATTAAAATTTCAAAGATAAAAAAAATAACAAAAATTACTTTTGATTTTATTTATTGCCCATTTTCATTTGAGAAAGATTATATATTTAATAGATTCAAATTAAAAGACTTTTTTTTTTCATACATTCATATTAAAACTTTAATTGAGATATTAAATGGATAAAATATTAACTTTTACTTAAAATAATGAGTTATAAAATTATAATAAGTAAATTACTTAAAATAATAGATATGGCACTAATTTTAGCGTTTACTATATAACGTTGGATGCACATGCCACTTAGTATATATACAAATTAAAAAAAAATATAAAGTTCCATATTATCTAGTAATTAATGATAAAATTAATTTCATTAATAATTATATGAATTGTTATTATTATTTTTAAAATTATTTTAGAATTATTAATAAAATTATATTGTTAAAAAAAAGAACATATATGAACTTTCAATCTTATTTGATTGAAAAAACATTTCTATTTGTATGGTAACAAATATTTTGCCAAAATTCTATTAAATGACATTATCAAACTATAAATACTATTATGGTATCTTATATAATTACATATATATGCAATGGCGATGCAGTATTCATAGTGTTGTCTAAAAATTGAATTATCATGTATGAAGTCAAAGAGTCGTAAAGAATCATATACAAGCTTTTACTATAAATGTCATATTTCATTGTATCATGACATAATTTTAAGATTATATTTAGGTATGATAATTAACCGACATATGCTCTATATAAACTAAACCTAAAGGACATTAACATATAATATTGACAAATTCAAACTTGGATGAAATATACCTAGAAAAAAAGATTTGTCCTGGACAGATAAGGAAAAGTGGGTTGCAAAACCATCTTTCTGAAATAAAATGCATATATATGCGCAATAAGTAGACTAAAAATGATCTGCAATTCAGCAGAAATTTGTCTGGCGCTCAGAATATTGTCTGGAAATAAAAATGCATATATATGGCGCAATAAGTTAGGACTAAAAATGATCTGCAACTTCAAGCGAAATTGTGTCTGGGCGCTTCAGAATATATATATATATATACTATATATGATAATCATATATATATATATTTCAAACTGAGGTTTCCTCAAAAGAGGTATATATTTCAAACTGAGTTCCTCAAAAGAGGTTTTGTTTTGTGCCTTGTCTCATAGGTGGTACACCAGTTCAATGAAAAACTTTTCACATTATTTAAACAACATGCAAGATTGTAACTTGCAGGCTAGTTGTTTCTGAAATACTAGTTCAGTACAATTTAAGACACAAGGCAATGTATTATAACCATTGAAATTTGTCCAGTCACATGATGACTCCATCTTAGCCAGGGGGCCAGTTCATTTGACGTCCCCCTAGGAGGTGGATGTGAAGGTGATACACAGATTGACCTGCAGAAAAAGAAAAAAAAAAAAAAAAAAAAAAAAAAAATTTGAAAAAAAAAAAAAAAAAAAAAAAAAAAAACAGTTAAAATGCAGAGTAAACATACTTAATTGAGAGTTCAATTAACAGCTATTATTCTTAATTCAACAACCATAGAAAAGATCACATACATCCACTTGGTCCATCATTAATCACAATCCTAAAACCATCTTCTAATCCCTCCTGCTTGGCAATGAGCTTGGCAGTGTATAGCAGGCGACCCAGAATGTCACAATGCCTCTCCTCAGCCTAAGCAGCCAGCCACAGAAAAATAATTACAAAGTCGCATAAAATAACCCACATTATAAATAAATGATATTAATGAATTTCCACAGGGACTAGAAGAGCCCCCAAAATTGCTCTATTGAACAACAAATAGACAGCTTACAGACAAGAATCCTTTTACATGTGTATTTTACAAAGACTTGATAGAAGCACGTGACAGTTTGTTCACATAAAAATCAAATGTTGTGGCTAATGAAAGGCTTAAAACTGTACCAACGTCAGTCCAAAGGTAAATTTTGCCTTTCATCTTTGAACTTGTTTATTAATGTCCATAATCATCTCTAAACTTAAAACTATTACTTAAAAGTCCTTGTCCCAGAATTAAATAACAATATGATTGTTGCCTAAATCAGTTCAGGAATGTTATAGACTCAACATGGTCAAATCAATATTTTTTTCATTACCCCAACTAGTATGCAATTAAGGTTTTTTTCATCACCCAAATTGTATGGAATTAAGGCTTAAATATTGTTCTACTTGTAACAGTCTCCCTATGACCCCACACACTCTCTCTCTCCCTCTCTCTCTCTCACACACACACACAAGAATTTTTGTTCACCCAAGATTTTGACAACGCATAACCTACTAGGTACATTCTCCCCCCTTCTAGCCCTAGTCATGGACAACAATGATCAAGTAGAAGATGTAGAGAAATAAGATTGCATGATGAATCCTTGACTAATTATAAGCTCTCAAGCATGCCTTTTGCATGTTCTCTCCTCCCTCTTCATTCGATCCAACGTCTTATCCTCTAATCTCTCTGTACAGTGCCCATGATTGAACTCTCAAAACTATAAATTCCATCTATCTTCTTCATTTCATGTGAGTTGTAATTAAATTGCTGTTTCCTTGATTAGAGGTAAAGTTAAGAATATTAGAATTAGTGTTCTACAGACTGTTGCTTGCACTCTGAAAAAAATGCGTGAAGGTATTTTATGAATTTTGGGAATTTAGAAAGTCTGATAATCATTTTGGGTCTTCTAGTTCTTTTTTTTCACAACTTCTGTAATTTGTTCTCAGAACTTCTGGACTTGTGAAATTGGACAATTAGGAATCAGAAGCACAGTTCATATACGCACCTATTTAAGAAAAATGAGATGTGGGAGTTGAAAGAGAGTAGGTAAATCAGAATTTGAAACAGGTATGAAGTTCTGTTAGTGGGAAGAGAGAATTAATTCTATACAAGGCACATTTTGGGAAAATCGTGAAGTTTATGTGCACAATAGCTCACTTAAAAGGTCTGTGATATCACAGTTGAAAATCAAAAAAATTCAGGCCTGAACATATTGAGCAAGCTTTTTATTTATTTTAAGATCAATAAATATTTATAAAGAACCAAGAAACACTAATATTGGCAAAAACAAAAAAATTCATTACTAAGATTTGCCCAAAAAGAGCCTATACCAAAAAAAAAAAAAAAAACTAATATTTTGGCAAAAACAAAAAAATTCAGTTACTAAGATTTTGTCCTCCAACAAGAGCCACTATTACCAAAAAAAAAAAAAAAAAAAAAAAAAAAAAAAAATAATGACGGCAAATGATTTTACCCATTTTAGTTATATATCACTCACATTGCACAATTTTAAAATTATGATTTTAAAGTTTTTATAACCGAAAAATTCTTGACTATCATTGAAGTTATTGATGTTATTCATTTGAAAGATTTATCATTATTATTACAATTGTGAGTTCACTTATAACCATATGATTAGTCAAGACACTTCATTTGTCCTTTAGCTTAAAGTTGGTAAGACATTGGTTTTATGCTATTTCTATGACAATGTACAGGCCTAAATTGAGCTTCTCAAAATTATTGAATAAACAATAAAAAAAAAAAATTAAAAACACAAAACAAGTAAACAAATAGGATAGTTGTAATGACTCATGACTCTCAACATGGTCTGAAGAGCAATATCATTATTAGCTAAAACAAATTACAGATTTACCCAATTTTTTTCAAAAAAAAAAAAAAAAAAAAAAAAAAAAAAAAAAGGAATAAATAAATTGATCCCGATTTCTCAAAAAAAAAAAAAAAAAAAAAAAAGGAATAAAATAAATTGATCCCCGATTTCTCAATCAATTTAGGATGTTATTTTGGACGAATGCCCAATCTGTTTATGAAGTTTAAGGACAAGATAGATGTCTTATTTTGACTATAAGACAAATACCAATTTATGTTTTTTTTTTCAAAATAAAAATCAGAGCAGCTAATGCTTCAAGGGAGGTACCTTAGAAAGTCCAGTTAAGCCATCCTTGACTTTGGGAATGATTAAAATGTGCGTAGGAGCTTGAGGAGATATATCCCTAAAAGCTAAGACCTGACAGAAGAAACAGATTAAAAGAAAATGGGGATCAAAATAGCAAAACTAACAAAGCAAGACAAAATAGTGGCACCCAAGTACCTTATCATCCTCATACACAACAGTTGATGGTATTTCCTTGTTGATGATCTTGTCAAATCTGCATACAAAACGGAAAAAAAATTGAAAAACAAAAGGAATCGGGATCTATTTGCACTAATTGAAACTCGAAATAAAGAATATTTATGGTTGAGTTTCAAAGGAGAAAAAACGAAATTGCAGATTACATGGTAGGAGAATCTGAGGGAGTAGCTGAAAGGGCAGCTTCTTTCTCGGAAGCCATGATGTGAGATGACACAATGCTTATTCTGCTTTTTATATTCATTCGACTCCGTAGCCCTATCCTACATTACCCACATGATAATATGCTACTCTCTCCCTCGGGCGTAGTAGGTGCTTTTCAATACGTGTGTTTATCCGTTCAAATCCAACTAAATGGATTAAATTAAATTGAAACCAACCGACATTTTTAATGCTTTATTAATTTCATGCTATTTTGACATTTGTATCCATTTCACCCTAAATTATAATTAAAATTTCAATTGTAAATAAAAAATAAATTAATATGAAATCCAATCTTGATCTTGGATTAGCTTAATCTAAATTTCCTCACTTATATAAATTTATTAAGTTTAATAGTTGTGTCGAACAAATTTTTTTTATTCGATAATTATAAATTATTATTGATTATAATTATATCTTATATTCTGATTTTGATGAAAAAACATTAATAATTTCTAATAATTTTTTAGTCAAATAATTTCATAGTAGTTTAACGTTTTCAACCTTTGTTTTTTAGATTTTACAATTATTTCAAAATTTACATAAAAAGTAAAACAATAATTACAATAAGTTTATTCTACTGTTTACGAGTTCTCTAATTGTTTTTAAAAAAGGGTTATGTATCAAAATTAATGCATTTTTATTTATTATCAATTAAAGAAATAATTTTAAAAATATTAAAAATAATAATAGTAATTTTTCTTACTATTAACTTAAACTCCCTCACTCAAACAAATATATTAAATTAATCCGAGTTCAAAATCAAGAGTGATACCCATAATAATATATTTGTTGGCTCCAGGGCTTTTACGATCTCTAATTTTGATGATCAACAAAATTAATAAATTGAAATAATTTATTATATAGTATTTTCTTAGAAGTCTTTTGCAGAAATTAAATTGAGAAGATCTCGTTGAATTAAGGTTTGAAGGCTTTCCAAATGAAGATGAACAGGGTTACTTGAAGACAATGAGAATAGTAAGTTAGCCAAATTAGTTGGGTTTAGTTCATCTTGTTGAAATAGGAAGATAAATTATGCCTATTTTAGCTAAAATCAAAATCATCTTTCTAGCCTTTTTGAATAATCTACTTAAAGAAGATATTTTTGTTAAAATAATATTTCTTGAAATTTTAAGAGAGAAAAATATATTTCAAATCCCATCTTTCGAAAGTTAAAAATACTGTAACAGACTGATTTTCTTTTAGTGTCAGTAATAGTGATTTACCAGTCTGTGAATAGTACCATCGGTCCGGGACTTGGTATTATTTTAGTCCGAAAAAATTACTATGCATATTTAATATTTTATTTTCGGGGACTTGGTATTATTTTTTTTAGTCCGGAAAAAATTTACTTATGCATATTTAATTTTTTATTTACTATTTTTGGAGCATGTTTGCATGATTTAGGTGGGTAGAAAGTATTGAACTAATATTTTATTGGAGGATTGATGTATTAAAATGCATAATATTTTCTAGTTTGGTATAATAAGAAAATTAAGATGAGGGAATTATTTGTGGAGTTAAATTTAATTAATTTGGGTGGAGTAAAATAAGAAGTTAGAAGAGAATTATTTGAGGCAATATTTAGAGCCATTGATGATGATTACTCTAGGCGATTTGATCTTAGCCACAACATTTGGCTATTGAATTTTGGAAGTCAAAAGTTGACTTTGTGCACCTTAATAGTAACACCACAACACTTTTTGCTTTTCTTCTCTTATTTCTTTTCTCCACGCCATTTCCATTCTCTCTTCCTTTCTTCTTTTCATTTTCTTCATTTTCTTTACCTCCAAAATTACCACCAAACTACCTAATTTAAACCAAGATTAGGGACTTAATTCTTAAGAAATTAAAGTTTAGTGAAATTGAGATTGGTGATCAAAGCTAAAGAGGAACGTTTGAAGATTACCCATTGAAGGCAAGTAAGTTTTTATGGTTTTTTGAAGTTTTGTGAATTGTTAAAGTAGAATTCAGGTTTAGACATGTTATTTGATGACATTAATAAATGCATGCTTCCAACTATTTCTTTGGTTCAAAGTTTTTTGCTTTTATTTTTGATTTTCTCATACTTGAAGACGGTCGGAGAAGCCTATCCTCCAAAGGGTAAGAGAAAGCCAAGGAGTAAGGCTTTTCCTAAGCTTATTCAAGCTTGTTATTTAAGGTTAGTGCAATAATACTTCACTTGTTTAAGTTTGTTTTTACATTGGTTAGCGGTTTTTGAATATATTTTTGGGAACTTTGTATGTTTTTGGTTTAAATTGCTGAATTTTAATGTGAGATATGTTTCAGTCGTGGGATTAAACTCCTTTTTTACCCCTTTATACTTTCCATTTGTTTGACTTCTTTCATTGAAGTTGGTAGCTCTATTTTTCTCAGCTTTCCAAATAACATATTTCTTATTGTCTTAATTCCAATACTTGTAGCTCAAACTTATGATTTGAAATACCAAAACTGGTTTCTGTTATGGTTGCCTTTACCTGTATATCCTGAAATTATGTCCATTTTTGACCACTCAAAAATGGCAAAATACATCTCTATATTCTGCATAAAAGTTGTCAGCTTTTACTTCTTATCTTTTCCACCGCATTCCTTCTTGTGTCCAAACTCTGGACTGAGATTACACTAGGCTAACTTATGTGCGTCGAAACACCCAACATTGACTCCTGTGTGTGGTTGTCGGGGCCATCTGCATTACTCAAAATTGATGTGCCCATTTATGACCACTTAGATGACAACTAGATTAGGTTCTGGTTTCTTCATAAAGTTTGTTGCCCTGTGTCTTGGAGACCTTCTCCTCGTTCTAGATTGGTTTCGTTCTAGATTGGTTTCATTTGAGTGTTTGGTGAAGTAGGAATTCAAGAAACATTGGACTTGGTTCTGCTGAATCAGGTCTGATCTATTGGACTGTGTTCTGAGCCTTTGTTTGCTATCTTACTTTTTGATCTAGGCTGTGGTCCCTTCTGAACATTTGTAGTATTTTTTCTTAGCTTTCTAATGAACCTAGTTTCATTCAATTTGAAGACCCATAACTCAAATTATTTTCATTCAATTTGGAGCCCCATAACTCAAATTATGTGTTAAAAATCCAGCAAGGGTCAAGTTTATGAAAATGCTGAAAAGTTCTTGATTTATGTACTTTTATACTATATTAAGTCTACATATATCTATAAAAAATTTTGAACTGATGAGTATTAAGAAATGAAGAGGTTTTGATTAAGAATTATTGCTTTTGTGAAAGATTGATTTTGATTTGGGCTCTACTATGCATGATTGAGACGTGGTATGATGAGATGGATTTTGTTATTGTGAAGCTATGATCATATGCTAGGGTTATCAGCCGCCTTTTATAAATAGGCGGACGCGCTTATTTGTGTGATGGGCGTGGTGCTTTCATTAGCCACGGTGGTGCTTTCATAGGCCCACGATTGTTGTTGCTTTCATAGGCCACGGTGGTGCTTTCATGGGCCACGATTGTGTGATGGGGGTGGTGCTTTCATAGGCCACGGTGGTGCTTTCATAGGGCACGATTGTGTGATGGGGGTGGTGCTTTCATAGGCCACGATCAAATCTGCTTATGTTCATTCTGTATTAGCACGAGCCTTAACTAAAGAATCAACATATTTGTAGTTATAATCGTCTTATTGTTTTCAAAGTATTTGAATTAAACGAATAAGATCATATTATTTTAGTAAACCTTACTTTGGAAATTAATGATTTTATTATCAAATGAATTTTCAAAGCATGATGTATTTTTATTCACCGCCGCAGGTTTAGGAGCGGAGGGTGTTCTTTTCCAAGACCAGAGGAGTAGCATCAGAGAAGTAGAGATCACATTTTTTGGGGTAGGATATTTTGTAAATGGTGATTTTGGCATTGTATATAAATATTTGTATTGGTGGAAGGTTTTGTATATAATAGTTTATAAGTATTAAGGAGTTGATTTATTTAAGGAAAGTAACATCTTATTATTATTTTGGGTGTATGATGATTATATATTCCTTTAAAAAGAATGTTGTTTTAGACTATGATGCGGGAATGTTGATGGATTATTTAGAAGTGCTTGTGGTATGTTGTGTTTGGATTGGAGTTTTTGGGGGTTTTGGGAGAAAATTGGAAGTGTGTATCTTTTCTTTGTGTTGGGCAAGTTAATTTTTTAGGGGAAACTCTTGCGAAATTTTTCGTAGGAATTTCCTTAAAAATATTTTTGGAAAAACAAAAAATAAATTAAATAAAAGAAAATGTGAATTACTTGCCTCTTATGAAATTTAACCACTTTTCTCATTTTGTGATCAACTTTAATAAGTGACATAAGCGTTGCTTCGGCACCGATTGTGGCATCCGCCGGGTCTGGTTCTCCGTTGATTGGCCGGTGGGTGTTACATTTTTGGGTATCAGAGCATAGGTTTTGACGATTGTCTAGGATTATTGATTTGGTATTAGAGTTTTATTCGATTATGGAAGTAATGCATATAAGCTGGATTTTAAGTTAAAATACATGCCATATTAGTCTGTTTGGGAATTTCTTCTCTAATGCGAATCCGTGGTCTTTGTTAGGTATGTGATGTCTCAGGCCTGCCGGAATGAGGAAGGTGGACAGTTTATGTCCCTCCAGAGGGTGCTATGTTAGAGGGCGGTAAGCCAGCCGGTGGTGTTTGCTGGTTGCATTTTGGGTTCCTGATTTGCAGGTGCGCGCTCAGCTGTTAGGGCAGGCTACTTGCGGGTCCTGCGGGGGCCTATCAGGCGGTGAATTTGGCTACAGCAGTTGGTAGCTGTGGTAGCTGCATTGAGGCAGGCTGCGGGAGCTGTTCCCCAGGCTCCAGTCGCACTAGCCCCTGTTCCAGTTCATTCCCCGGTAGAGAGACTGAGAAAGTATCGTGTTGAGGATTTTATGGGTCGGAGAGATGATGATCCTTCTGCAGCAGAATTTTGGCTCCAAGCTACAAATAGGGTTTTGGACCAGATGCAGTGTACTCCTCCAGATAGATTGATTTGTGCTGTTTCATTGCTGAAGGAAGAGGCTTACCTATGGTGGGAGTCTATGGGTAAGACAGCGAGAGCCGAGGATGTTACTTGGGATTTCTTTCTCTCTGCTTTTTGGGAGAAA